GGAGAAGAGCAAAAACATCTTTTCCTCTGAGAAAAGCCTCCACAGCAGTGTTTTGCTCTTCTTTCAGTGAAGAAATACTATGTAATTCCAATAAAAATTGCTCGATAGCCACGCTAACGCTAGTTTCATCGGCTGAAGCCGTCATGTTCTTTAGACTGAACTGTCGTGCTTCTCGTTGCTTCACACCTCAACTCGCCTCAAAGCCAACGCTGATTGGACGTTCGTTTGGTGAACGGCTCCAAATTTTCTTTAACGGAGAGTCTCCAGACTGATCTGCGAGATAAACCTTGAAAGCTCACGAGATCAGGATGGTCTCACGAGGCTAGTATTCAGCTAATGTAGTAAAAAAAATGTAGAGTTACAATTTTTGTTTTTCTTTTAAATCCATCCATCCATCCATTTTCCATCACGCGTATCCCAAGAGGGGTCGCGAGGGGTGCTGGTGTCTATCTCCAGCTGATTACGGGCAAGAGGCGCCGTACACCCTGGACAGGTCGCCAGTCTATCCCAGGGCAACACAGAGACAAACAACCATTCACGCATACACTCACACCTAAGGAGAATTTAAAGCCAATTAACCTGCATGCATGTTTTTGCACTGTGGGAGAAAGCCAGAGTACCAAGAGAGAACCCACGCAGGCTCAGGGAGAACATCCAAACTCCATGCAGAAAGAACCCGGGCTGGGAATTGAACCCAGAACCTTCTTGCTGCAAGGCAGCAGTGCTACCTACTGCGCCCTTTTCTTTTAAATAAGAAACGCAATTAAAATCATTACTAAATCATTTTTTCATGCAATATATCATCATCCTCCTACTACTTCCTGTTTTCTTCTTTTTTTTTTTTACAGTAACAACATCTGGTTTTGTGATTCGGACAAAAACAATTGATTGTAAAAACAACTATTTTGATTTAAACAAACAAAAAATAAACTAAGAAAAAAAAAATCATTGTATTTTTTCAAACTTTGATTTTTTTTAATTAAGTGCTTCTGCGCGTCTCGCAGAAGCACTTTTTATTTTCATAATTACAGTTTGCTTAATATGATGGTCAGGGTAAACACATATAGAAATACATGGAGAACGTTGATCTTCTCTCTAATCACTAAAATGTTTTCACTTTCTATATCTGAGCAGAAAATATTCGTCATGCCCAACATGGATGATTTATATCTGCCCCTGATGACATCTGGCCTGGAAAACCCACCTGCATCCCATCGGTCCTCTGTGATTTCCTCTTCCCACCAGTCTTCCATGGAGTCACAGGAATATGTGTCAGAATAGCGCCCCCTGTGGCTGCAGAGCTTGTTTTATGTTCAACAAAGCAAGATGTCTTGGATCCGTTGTGATGAAACTATGACAAACTATTCGCGTGCTGCAGCTTTAGCCAACTTTAATGACCATGTGATTACGAAGGACAGATTTCTTCTGAAACCACAATGAACTCAAACTGTGAGCTTGGGAACGTTGGAAATGTAGGGGCCTGTGGATGAGGGGCCCGTACTGGGAATTTAATCACTGATATTAAATTGACGACTTGCTACATTGATGCCATCTTTTTTTGTAAGTGATGCACAACTTGAAACAAGTACCTACTGCATGACATAAAAAGGCATCCATCCATCCATCCATCCATCCATCCATCCATCCATCCATCCATCCATCCATCCATCCATCCATCCATCCATCCATCCATCCATCCATCCATCCATCCATCCATCCATCCATCCATCCATCCATCCACTTTACATGAACTTTATAAAATTTTTCTTAAAACATACTTGAAGTTTCAAACTGTGTTCCTTCTTTGTGTATCAATGCACATGTTGGATTTGCTAAAATAAAAAATCATGTTTTTATTCCAGTTAATATTCTAGAAAATATCAACTTAAAAAGACCACTGTAAGAATGTAAGAATGAGTAAAATACACATTGTTAATAGAAATTGAGTAAAATACATTTATTATTCAGCAAGAACATTTGTTCTTCTCTCAGACGTCCTCTGGAAGGGGTGGCGGCATCGTCTTCAGTGAATGTTTTTTCAGTGGCCCCTAAAAATAAAGCCAAGGTTATGCTTTAAATACTATTTCAAAATCCTAAACAGTAGATAGATTGAGCTGTATATGGTTCTTGCTTTGTGATTGCTGGAATTAAGTATGAATACAAGTTATTCCCTCACCATAAAGGCTCTTTTCTCTTGGGCTGTTTGGAAGCGCCCATGGCCAAATTTAGATGTAGTGTCGATAAACTTGAGATCAATGGCCTCCTTGGCCCTGCGTGATGTTTGTGTGAGCAAAGACTGCAGGGAAAATGCACAAACTTAAATTAGTTAAAATTCAAATTCTTCTTTAATGTCAGTCTTATATGTCAAATCAGAAAGCTTTTTCAGCAAATCTACAGGTTTTGTGTTAAGATAAGTCTCCCTACCTTTCTGAGTGCGAGGACACGTTTCTTAACGCCTACAACACAACCTTTCACCATGACAAAATCGTTATTCACTTCACCATAGTGGGGGAAACCTCCCTAAAGAGAAAAAAGAAGGCATTTGAGAAGACATTTTTATGAAGAAATATATCCGATTTTTTGCATGAGAGCTTTTTTAACATCTCAGGTTACTTTATTAACTAACAAAAACTATATTCTGTTTCTTTTTTTCTGTTGAATTATTAAGTAACCATCAGATTTGTTTAACAAAGACAAATACATTCTTTCATCAAAGTAACTGTATGAATAATATGCTTTAACATCAAAAGCTATCTGAGATTGATTAACTTATACACTAGTGCTGACATTTATTAGTCATTTTGGTCACATTTGTCTTAAAGAGTCTTAAAACAAATGTGTCTTTTATAGTAGTAGCAGCATCACAGACAGAAAACATTGGAGGAATTATATTTTATAAAAAATGTATTAAGTCAGGAAAAAAAAATACATAGCTTTTTAATTACTACTGTATGATACAAGATATAAATGTGGCACCTTTGATTTTGCACTTTTACTATTTTACATTTTGTCATGTTAAAACTAAAGATATTTTAGTATTTTATTGTTCCTTGTATTGAGATTTAATGGGAAAGAATGCGGCCTGTTTATAAAGTTTGTTATAATTTTTTGAAAAACACAAACAGAGGTATGCATTTGTATTCAGCAGCAAAGTCAAAACTTTGTAGATCTACCTTTTACTGCAGTTTCAACTGCAAGACTGTTATGGTATGCATCTAACATTCCAATAATGGAATTTTCTTACATTTTCTTACATTAGAGGTTTTTGATCTAAACCCTAGCCTTGCAGCTTTGTTTAAGTGTGGGTTTTGTTGGATGGTGAACATTAACCCCAGATTTTCCACCTGGATTGATCTTTTTTTCTTTTCTGTTCATCCATCCTACCATAAATAGAGGAAAGCATCCCCACATCATAACTCTGCCACTATTTAGGTAGATGTGCAGCAATGGTTTCACCACTTAGGTGAATCTTAAAGGCTTATTGAGGCGTTTTCGAGAGCTAAGAATACAAATGCATGACACACTTTCCAAATTTTTTATTTCTGAATAAAAGCCTTGTATTGTTTTTCAGAGAGGATGTATTCATCCTTACCAAGGATGGCAATAGATAAAATGAGTTTTAAATAGTATGAGTTTGATCATCAGTGGTGGTTTAAAAGCAGAGAGTACCATTGGAGTGATGGTCTTCTCACTCAGGTCGTAGGTCGTGGAGACATTGTTTCGCACCACCTTCCCGTCCTGGATGTGAACTCCTCTGCCAATACGGAATATCTGAGGACATAACATAGAGCCTTGGAGGTGAAGACAGTTCTCATCATATTAAACTTTGTCACGTTGGGTTTTACATTTACAAATTTAAGGAAAAGCAAATGTATAACTGTGGTTAGGTTTCAGGTTACCTTCTTGTTGATCTCAGTACGGTGCTGATAGCCTTTCTGACCAGCTCGAGCCACAGTGTAGGCCACGCGTGCAGGATGCCAGGCGCCAATGCAGGCCACCTTTCTCAGCCCCTTGTGGGTCTTTCTGGGGAGCTTCTTTGTGTGCCAGCGACTGGTCACTCCTAACAGCAGGAATCACAAATGCAGTCCATCTTTTCCTGTATATCATGGACAGTCTTGTTACTGCAAGAACCTACAGCAATACTCCCACCTTTGAAACCATGGCCTTTGGTGACTCCGATGACATCAATCATCTCATCCTGGCTAAAGACAGCGAAAATGGGCACAGCTTTCTCCAGGTGCTCCTTGGCCCAGTCCACTTTGTCTGAGACCGTGCCCCCATTTAGCTGCACCTCCATAATGTGAGCCTTCTTCTGCTTTATGGGCAGCAGTCGCATCTGGAATCACACAAAGGAACAACGCGCCCTGAAGTTGCTGTTGCTGGGGTTTAAAGATATCATCCTTTCAACCCGCTATAATTAGGATTATTACTCAACAAGCTGATGGAAGTCAGGAATAAAAACATGCCATGATCTTATCAACTCTACCTAAAAAATAGGATCCATAAAGTTATTTTACAATCTGCAAATCTTTCCAGTCTTCAAATAATCTGGGTGAGCTGCCAGGATTGACACCAAGAAATATTTTTAAACTGATATTTGAAACTCTACTCCACAGTCATCTTCTTCTGGCTCTTTCTGTGGCCCAAGCCAACATGCTAAACATGTAAAAGCGTTTCTGCCTGTCTGCTTGTGGTCTGCCTGCTTTTTTTAAGTGGAGGAGAAATAAATGTGATGAAAAGTTGTTTTGACATACTGAAAACAGCTGGATTAGGCCTACCTGAGAGTGAACAATAACCCTGATGACTGAACAGTACTTCCTCATCAGATTAAAATCCTTTTCCAGCTGTTTCTTTCCAGTCTCGTCCTGCCACTTCTTGCTGTATTTGGTGAACGCCTTTTTCTTGCTCTTCGCCCTGAAAAAAAAAAACCCTCAGTCTAAGGATAAGAAAGGAACTTTTTCAACGGATTTTTTTTCTCAGTTAAACATTTGTGTGCTGCACACACCAGTTCCTATAAAATCTACGCCTGCACTCGTCACTGAGATGCTCAGCAAAGATTGTTTTCAGAGCACGCAAACCCCGGACCGTCCGAATATAACCCACAATCCCCACCACAATGACGGGAGGGGTCTCAATGATGGTTACAGCCTCCACTTCCTCTCGCTTGGACACCTCTGCAATACAGACAAAAATGGGACAACAGTTCACTCATCCAAACCAAAATGTCATAAAATCAGAGTTTTAATAACAATTGAACTGTTTAACANTTTTTTTTTTTTTTTTTTTTTTTGTGGGATAACAACTTATGAATGCCAAACATTTAAAAACCCAATATGTGGGCACAAAGGTTCAAATTAATTGCAGATTTTTTATAATGAAAAAGTTGTAAAACATTTCCTATAGACTCAGACGGTTAAACATGATCCTAATAAAGTTTCGATAAATGTAACTTAAGTTATACTCAAACTATGTGCTTTTTTTGCCCGTTAACATTCTTATTGGGTTTTTATGACTTAGCTTTGGACCCTGGCTTTAGCTTAGCATAGTCAACAATTCCTTTACAGGGTTGAGTTTGAGCCCAGTCCAAAGCCTTTATTTATTCCTACATCTGCTTTTGACATCGCTGCTTATTTGATAAAACTAAAAATATTTCCAAGTTTCAACTGCTTGTGGATTTTAAGTAAAATGTTTTTTTTAATAATTGTCATATGTTTTTTTTTTCTGAAATGCTCTAGTATTTGTGGCAGAAAAGCAGCCTGTGGTCAAGGTGGAGCTTGTCAAGGGCCATTTGTGTATATATATTACTCACTGCAGATTTAGATTTCATGGATTTTATTTAAACCAAGGGGTTTGTTTCTTATGCAATAATACAGGAATTTCTCAAAAAATAATAAAGCAAACTTATGGGATAATATCTTATAAGTTTGAATTACATTTTATTTACAAATAATAACTACAACCTTTATGTCCAATAGAAATGTTTCTATATTGGCATGACTCTATAAAACCGTTCACATAATTGCTGAGCAGCTTTTTGCGTGTTTACTCTGGTACTCTTGCAATTTGTCTGTGAGGATGAGCAGCAGGTCTTTGACTTTGGAAGGCCTCCCTGCTATCACCCTTTGTCAACAGATTCTGTGGCAGATTCTAATCCAGACTGGCTGGACAACTCTAAAAAGTTACTGTCATTAACAATCAGAAAACTTCCTTAAAACTTTATCAGCGAAGTACAACTGTGGGCTTTATATTTTTAACCTCGCATTAATAATTATGACTCAGTTTAGAGAAAATTTCACAGTTTCCACTCCTTAAAATTCATCAAAGTTTTGGATTAAAGTATACCCCCACCCGGAGGAGGAAAACTGTAAAAAGTCCATCATTAATCTTTCTTTTTTTTTTATTCCAGTTTATGTTAAATGATCTGGATTTATCAAGGCAGGGGATTTATTCACACACTAGCATTAGGTAAACTTTTGACCCAAACTATAATATTTAGTAGGAATGAAATATAATTTAAAAAGATATGAAAACCATTGCCATGCATTTAACAGAAATTAGCACATAGAAACTGCTTTTTATGATAGTAGTTCACACAAGTCTTAAAGCTGAATAGCTTGACTTTTACTTTTTTATTACTGATCACAAACACGTCTATGTGCAAATATCTAGGGCTGAAACAATTCATTGTATTTATCGTGATTAATCAATTATTGAAATAATCATCAACTAAATTCATTAACTGGAGTATAGAGACTGTAAAACATGCCTTTAGCTGACAGAGCAACCCACTTTAAGCGGAAAATATATCAAAATTATAAAAAAATATAGTAAACATCTTGTATCTAAGATTTTTTTTTAAAATGTTTCGTCTGTCAATATGCTCTATCCAGAACTCCTCAAGTGGAAAAGTTTTAGTTTCACCTGTTTTAATTTCGTAAAAATTCCTCTTAATGGAACCTTTGGTTATCCAATTTTTTATTGATTAATCGATAAAAATAATCGACAGGTTATTCGACTAGAAAAATAATCTTTATTTGCAGCCCTACAAATATGCACATGGTAGTTTGATTAAGTTGTACATACTAAGGCCAGGGCGGTGAACCTCCCTCACAGTGTGTGTCATCCCAGCCTTATATCCCAGGAAGGCAGTGAGGTGGACAGGGTGGCTGGGGTCGTCTTTTGGCCACGTGCGGACCCTACCTCTGTGCCTCTTGCTGCGCCTTCGGGGCAGGAACCCCATGTGCCCGTGACGTGGGGCATGGAACTTACGGTGAGACTGAAAAAAACAACATAAACAATTCTGAATAGAAGTAAATAACAATGTAAAAATATCCAATAAGATGGATAACATTCTCACAAAAAGTTAAATATAACCTTTGAATTACCAATATACACAATTATTTTAATTAGTATAAAAACATTTCCTCACATACTGACAGTTTTTTTAATTAAAATTTTGCCGAGCTTTGATTTAAAATGAAACTGGACTCTAATGGTTATTTTTGCAAAGGTTCAGAGACCCCATGTAAATTCTGTGCCTCATTAACAACTAGAAACTCACACAGGATAAAAATACGAGACAAGAAAACTCTCTACATGACCATGGTCTCCTCAGTGGCAACATATATACAATGTTTGAATAGTTTACCTCCACATCCAGCTGCCAAACACACATGCAATTATATGCAGGACAAGCAGATGTTAGGAAACAGGGATAAAACATCAACAAAAGGGGAAAAAAGAAAGAAAGCAATGTTGCAATTCAAAACTGACCATGCCACCAACCAGGCGAAGGGTAGAGGGAAGAAGGAACTGGTACTGCTGCAAGTGTCATACATAAGATGATACACAGACGAAGCACTCTAATTTGGTGTTTGGCCCCATCCAAGAGGCGTATTCTCTTTCAAACTTTGCAGACTTTGCCAAATCATGACGGAGAAGACAGCTACAAGGAAAAGGGTAGAGTCAAAGGTCTGAGGTGGGTCGGGAAGCCCAGTAGACTGGAACCGTTCAACCAATAAAGGAAAGAGGGAGGACAGAGATGCCTTTATTATAATGAAACTATGGTCTGTCTGGACTTGGAAAGTTATTTATCTCAACAAAGGGTATAAAGATTTAACCTCACCTCTGGATATCTCTACTGTAATGAAAAAGGACATTTGGATAAGGGTATCAACTACTTGCTGTAAGACTAGGTAAATTCATGGGTCTATATGAGAGTGTTTACTTACTAAAAATAGACCTACTCAAAGATGGAATATGATACAATAATATCTGAGTCATTCAAGAGAAGAATGAAATTCGATACCATCAAACAGGTATCTTATTTATCTCCAAACACGGCTCATTCACGCACACAATTTTTAAATCTACCTATTAATATATTCATCAGACTGTCTGGAAACATTTTATTAGGGTATAAAGCCAAAGATGAAGAGGACCTGTTACTGGAGTAGAAATTAATATTTTTTTTTTTTATCTCTGCAGCCTTCTTGCACAGTGAGCAGGAGGATAAGAAAATAAAAAAAAAATGATATTTTTTTCTTTAGGTAATCCACAATGGAAGGTTTTCTGAGTCAGCATGTTAATCTGCAGCTTGCTAAACAAGGAACACAAAATAAGCTACCAAAAAAAGAAACCCGTGCCTATTATTAAGTACAGTGAAGGATCTATGATGCTGTGGGCCTGTTTCAAAAGGCTTTTGCTAAAAAGCATTTAAGCCTGAACTCTTTGATACCTGTAAACCTTTTCAATAAGATTCTGTTGGACTCTACCAGAAAAGTGAAAGGGTCATCAAGTGTCCTTCAGTACATTAAGCTAAAGACATGAGACCATAAGAGAGGGCAAAATGACAAAATATTATGAAGTAGTATTAGTGAGCACTAAGCACTGTCTGCTGGCTCTATTTATTAAACTGACTCAAATAAAATGTTTCACTATTTTATTTCCAAGACCAAAATGCAGGAATCCAACACAAATGCATCAGTCAAAGAATAGAAATATGTGTAACGATTTAAATAAAAGTGTAATAAATAAATGATTAAATAATGTCGTATTTAGATAAATGCTAATATTTTATTTAAACAGAATTCTATAACTAATCATAAATTAAAACTTAATTTATTAATGTTAAAACCATTCTTAGTTATTTAATACTCCTTGCCCTTATGTTCATATTCACTGCATTTCAAATGCATATCAATTTCTCTGAAGTCTCAATAAACTTTAATTTGTTAGGCTGACAGATAAAATTAAAAATTAAAGTATTGCAAAATAGGAGTATGAGATTAATATATCAATTATAAATAATCGTAAATACTTGTGAGATAATATACTAATTATACGTATATATTTTTTGTATTTTCAATTAGCTTTTCACTTTTGACCTTCGTTAGCTCTCTGGTGCCATCTAGTGGAATTTAAAAAGTATAACATTTCAACCTCCGACCTTACTATCTGAAGTAAACTTTAGGAAAATAGTCTTTCAAATGTACTATAGTATTTTTTTTTATTTAAATAAATGTCCAATATACATTCAAATAAATATGCAGCTAATAAGTAGAATTATAACCGTTTATTTTGTTGAAATGACCTCTAAATTCGCCATTGTGCTGTCTCTCCACTGCGCATGCGCACCTCAAGGAGTTCTGTCGAGGTCGAATTGTGGACTCTGTTTGATTTTAGGCAAAACAAGCCACAAAATGCCCAGAGACTATGATAAAGAAGCATACCCGGAGCCTCCCCGGCAGACTCCAGTGGTCGACAAGCAGACGGCGCTGCCTAACCCGGCTCTATTCCTGTCTAAAGTCTTCTATTACACCGTGGACCTGCCTGTCACCACATTCAGAGGTATGCTAAGCTAACGGGGCTAACAACAGCAGGACAAGCTAGTAGCATTTTCATTGTAGTTAGCCTGTGTTCAGCATAAAGCTTCCGTTATTATTTCCCACAGATACTGTTGACAGCATTCGGTCCAAAAACAAGCTGGTTTATTATCACCAGAAGTTCCGCCGCGTCCCCGACCTGACAGAATGCCAGGAGGGAGATTATCCCTGCTACTATGAGGCGGAGATGCAGTGGAGGAGAGACTAGTAAGTCAATCAAAGCATATAATAAAGTAGAATTTAAACCTCTGCAACTAAAGTATCAAATTGTTTTATAAAAGTAAAAATTTCAGTTATCAATGACGAGGAATCTTTAGGATCTAAATCTAGAAAACATAAATATGAAGCTTTTAAACCTGTTTTATGAATCTACTTTTGTCAGCATTATTCATTCAGACAGGTTAGCCCCTAAAGATCTGAGATCTGCTTATTGTGGAGCCACAGCACATCCCCAGTGGATCTAAATAGCTTCATTCTAATTTAATATAGAATGTAAGCTATGTTTTAAAATGGAAAAAAATGCTTAAAAACTAATATAGGCATGCTTTCTATGCAGTTTAATTTGGTTTATAATTCAAATTCCACAACAGAAAGCCCATATTCTGATCTTCAGCTACCACAGTATACATGTCAGATTAAATAAGGCATCTCAAACTGGTTCCAAAAAGGGCCTTGTGGCTGCAGATTTTCTTTCCAACCCAGCAGTAGCACACTAGACTCCATTCATCTCATCAAGTAAGTCCTTTCTTAACATGATGAATTGATGAGGTGACTGTAGTCTGGTATGCCATTGCTTGGTTGGAAAGAAAACCTGCAGCCACACAGCCCTTCCTGGAAGCACTTTGAGACCCCTGGATTAAGTAATACTACTGATACTTCAGCGATAGTATCAAGGCGTTACTTTATTGTATCTCTTATACTATATCTGTTGGTTGTGCTGTTCTTTTTACATCTCTTTGCAGGTTATGAAGCAGAGTGAAGATGTTTTATCATTATCTCCCTTTTATCTCCTTTCATCTTTTCCTTTCCCGTTCTACTTAATTGCAGTGTCCATATAATCTGTGATACTCCCTGCATGAATTATAGTAAAGCTATTTATGTGCATAAATCAAGCAGAACACTATGGCGATAGCTGTACTGCTCCACTTGTGAAAGCAAAATCTGTTGGGCCCTTTTTGGCATCAAGACCATTATTCTTACTACCACATCGCCAGAAAGGACCGTGTTCAGAAAAAAAAAATCCACAACAGAATGACACTGAATTTGCATTGTTTTTATCCAAGTTAATTTATGATATGTGATGTTAAAGAAAATGTGTTCAGCGATTACTCCAAAAAAAAAAAAAAAAAAAATGTAAATGTAGAAAAAAAGGGTTATGGTTATGCAGCTGTAATACACAAACTGGTATTGCAAATATATGAGTTATTTTTTTTTGAAGGATAAACTGTGTGGCTCTAAAAGCAGCTCCATCAGGATGCTGAGCTCCGTTTCACAAAGATAAATGATTGAAGAAAAAATCTTTACATCTTATGAGAATGGCAGTACTGACTAAAAACAACCACAGACAGTGATCTCTTTAAATCAGCAAAAAGACCTAAGACTCAATATTTATTGATGTTTCACAGAAATACTTGTATTAACCTCTCAAGGTTGTTTTTAACAAGTAAAGTGTGCAGCTTCTCATTAGCTTTTATGCTTCCAAAGTGTTTGGATTTTCTCCACTGGTGTGCAGGATCAGATGTTGGAAAAATTAACTGTACATCAGCATTTCTGTGGAAGGGGAACTTGGTAATGACTGTGGTGCTTTGTTTTTGCCACCCCAGTAAGGTGGATCAGGAGATAGTGAAGGTGATCCAGGAACGCCTGAGGGCCTGTCAGCAGAGAGAAGGGCACAGCTACCAGCAGAACTGCGCTAAAGAAATCCAGCAGTTCAATGAGGTGACCAAGAACTACCAGTCACGCTGTAAGTAGCTTTTTTTTTTTTTTTTAAATTAGCAGTCACTGGTTTTAATTATCATTAGAGCATGATTTTTTTTTTTATGCAAACGTTGCAATATCTGGTACATCTTGGGCCCCAAAATGTCAGAATATGCTGCTTTATTATTGCTTAAAAAAGTTACATTGAGTTCAAGTGAATGTTTGGATTATTTCTAATAGGCTTTTATTCGCCAAGCGGTCCTCACATTTCCCAATTCTTTTCCAGATGGTGACCTGGGAGCATATGCTAGTGCAAGGAAGTGTCTAATGAAGCAAAAAGAGCGAATGATGGCAGCTCAGGCCCAAAGTGCTTAAACAGTCCCATCTCTGCCAAGTGTATTATTGTAAAATAAAGTTTATGTGATTAAAAACATGTTTTTGTTCTTTCTTAAATGGGCCTTAATATTATATGCTTAAGTTTAATGTTTTCAACATTAGCTGCTAATTTGAACTTTGCAACATTGTGAAACTTATAGTATTTCAGCTTTTATAATCTCATTTACCAGGAATCCATTAACTGGTACAGATACTAAACAGCTGTACTGAAACATGTTCTATATTTTTCCATTTCAAAATGTCCTGGACAGTTTGTATTTAAAAATTGTTCAACAGTTTAATACATCTTGGTTTTATTCTTAACTTCCAAAAATAAGCAATGCTGGAGTTGGCATCTGTTTAACTAGTGAATGGCTATTTAACATTTTAATACTTAAACTGTAGGTTGGCTCTGGTTTTAAACCCTAAATAATCTTTCAGTTCCTCAAAATATTTAATCTAGTTATTTTAATGCAAGCAGCTCAACTAGCAGGACATACTGTGTGGATGATCAAAACTAGTGCATCTTATTGTAAAGATGCCCTTTATCTCAGTGATGTCAAGAACAGCATAATAAAAGTCTGCAACTTTTGTTCTACACAGCTCCATCAAAAGACAAAGCACATCTACCTTCAGGTCACATTGTATTCAAATTAACCTAAAAGGAATCAAACATGATTTAGCTCACCTGAAGGCTTATTAAGAGTGAAGTTCAGGCAAACAGGATAGACCATTTATGTCATCTCCCTTACCAGCTATTCACTGTTCAGCTAATACCAAGTAGAGGCCTAGAGAAGAGTCAAAACAATTGATATTTTTGGCTTAGACCATGAGCCAAACACTTGTTTTAACATGTGCCTTCTGAGATGTTTGGCAGTTTTGGTTCCAAGGACAATTTTGGAGTGATCAGTAAAATGAGCTTAAGTTTACACAATTCTTGCAAAAATATATACAATTTGAAGATTCTAAAGTGAGAATTCTAGCTTTACATTTTAAATTTTCATCCATTCAGCATCAAGTCCCAGAAGAGTAGATGTTTAATGTATACAAGAATTGCTCAGAAAGTCAATTTTTCCCACTACACCCTTTTGATCTGAAGTTTGCTTGACAATATTCATTAGATCGGTCACGTTTTTATAACAGCTTTTATGGATCATAACTCCTCTTCTGTACACATTTCCTCTAGACAGATTTGATCTTTTACTGTAGACTAGTCAATGCTTCAGCTGTTACCTCTAGTTTAAAAATGTCATTTAAATTGTCTACTTCCTAAAAATATATATATATATATTTTTTTATAATCAAAGACAAACACTCCTCACAACACATGGTAGCTCAGAACGTTTATTTAACGATCTTCTATACAAAACATTTAGGAGGTGGGAGGTGGCACAGGCTGGCCCCTCTGCACAGACACCCTGGTGTGAGTCTTAGCCAGATGGTCGGTGAACTCCTGAAACAAATTATTTCATCAACATAAGCATTTTGTTAATTTTTTTTTTTCTATTAACCAGTGTTCAGAATTTTGGTTCACCCACCTGGTATGGAGACTTTGTGAAGACTGTCTCCTTCCACAGATCGGGGGTCAGGTAGCTGTAGGTCTTTGAGATGGCATCAAAGGTGGCCTTAGCTGTGGACGATATAAACGGCAGATGATTCACAGCAACACAATGTTTAGTTGTGAAAAATAATGTTGAATAAAACAATCTGGGAACAGAGAAGACGATTGAAGCATCTCCCTGCCGTGCAATATTCATTATTTTCTCTCCTGATAACGTCAACTAGACCACTGCAAAGGTTTAGTTGGGCAGAGCAAGGAGAAAGTAAAACACCTGGACGAGGCTTACCGAAGTTGCCCAGGGTGGCGGTGCAGCCCCTGGCAGACGTGTAGCAGTCATCGATACCAGCCATCATGAGCAGCTTTTTGGGCACAGGAGCGGACACAATTCCAGTACCACGGGGAGCCGGGATGAGACGCACCAGCACAGAGCCGCAGCGGCCCGTCACCTTGCAGGGCACGGTGTGGGGTTTACCGATCTTGTTACCCCAGTACCCTCTCCTGACTGGAACGATTGACAGCTTGGCCAGGATGATGGCTCCACGGATGGCTGTGGCTACCTCCTTGGAGCACTTCACTCCCAGACCAACATGGCCGTTGTAGTCACCAATGGCAACAAAGGCCTACAGAAAAAAAAAAAAAACGCAACAAGATTAGAGGGTAACAATTTGACAAAGTTACTCAAACATAAGATCAGACATTTACCTTGAACCTTGTGCGCTGACCAGCCCTGGTCTGCTTCTGGACAGGCATGATCTTCAGGACCTCATCCTTCAGCCCAGAACCCAGGAAGAAATCAATGATCTCCGACTCCTACAAAGGAAAAACAACCAGACATCTTGTTTCATTATCAGGGGGTTGTACACGTTTATATTTTCAAAAATCAGGCCTTTTTACAGTCTCAAGAATTTTAATTACACGTTGAAATATGGCAAAAGCACAGAATACCAGGGGGAGTGAGTAGGACTGCTACTTGATTGGATTTTCCTGTTCAGACTCCAGTCTTTTCATTTAAGATCTTTTTTATGCATCTCCACTGTCCTTACAGCCACTATTGACTACCATTACTGTATTACTTTGCTGTTGAAAGATAATATAATAGTTGAGTTGTTTCATACAAGTTGCATAGTGCAAGTGGTGAATTAAAATGTTTAATATCAGAAATTCAATTTGGGAATCAGATCAGATTGGAAAAAAGGATGTCAGATTACAAATATAAGGTAATTAAATTGATAATTTAGAGGACGATGGACAAACTTCTTGAAAGAGGTAATGAACAAAGGGTAAAACTGATGACAGGCTGAAACTGGAGGGCATATTTACAAATTGTAAGAATTCATTCTCTATATATAAAAACAAAAGTTTGAAGCCACTCAAAGCCTTTATAAATGTGAACACTTAAACAATGCTGCCATGTAGATGGTGTGAGAATCATCTTCATTTAACCTTTTCCAAACAAAAGCCTATTCATATTTTATAATAACACAACCAAAACCTATGTACTATAGAAACAACTTCTAACCATTTATTATTATTAAGTGTTTTTAAAGCTCTAACCTTGATAGGAAGAGAGTACAAATAGATTTCCTCCAGGGTCTTGATCTTCATGTCCTTAACAAGGCGGCCCAGCTTAGTGACTGGCACCCACTAAGAGCAGGAAAAAACAAATGGTTAATAAATATTATATTCACCGGAATTACCTTTAATATAGAATCAAACCCACCTCCTTGTCTTCGGACTTTCCACCCCGGGCACCGCGGCCCCTTCCACGGCCCCTGCCGCGTCCACGGCCCCGACCCCGGCCGCCTGCGCCGAAACCTCCGCGAAAACCTCCTCTACCACCGGCGTCGTCCGCCATTTGCTGTAAGAGAAAATCAGAAACATCAAGTTATTTGCTGGGTTAGAAAACGGGAATGGGTTTAATCATCAGCAGCCGCGAGCTGCCCGCCATGTTTAGAGGATTCGTGTTTCCTTTCAAAATAGATATTACTCCCAATTACATTAAAATATTAGCAGATAAATGAGAGATTTTACGTATTTGTTCAATTAGATATTGATCTATTGTGTTTCATTTAACGATGTACGAGATAATTCTGGATTGCAATAGAGGCGCGGAAACAAATGCACACTTACGTGATCAGTATAACAGGAAGAAGGCCGACAGGAAGTTCCGCTAGAAATTATATGAAATGTATTATCGCGATATTTTCCGTTGATGCGAGAATATGCTCTCTGCTGCCTCTATTGGTAGCTCTCCAAATAAGATATCACACCTGTTAAAATAGTCAATGTAGGTCTTAACTTCTTCTTTTATAGAGGTGTGCAGTTATAATAATTATTATTATTTAATACTAACAACTTTATTTTTTTTTTTTATAATAACTGACACAGGGGGAAAGTCGTTGCTTTGTTAGTCCTGTCCTTAGCTGGGACACTCAGCTTAGAATGCACCTGTAAATAATTAAGAAAAATAGCACTTTTAAAAGAAATTTAATTGAAATACAGTTACCCCTGTATTGCTTGGCCACTCAAATAATTTAGGTATTTCAAAGTTTAGAAAAATAATAACAATCTTGGGGGTTTTTTTATGGTCCTAATGCAAGAGATACAGACAATTTATGTTGGATAATTTATTCAGAAAATAAATAAAAAATACAGTAGAAAATGGTTAAAGTATCACTCATCATAAGCAAGTCACCTGCAGGAAACAAACACAAAAAGGGCTAAAACACAGGAGCAATACGCAGATTTAAGAGTTGCTGTTTGCGCTTGAAGTCCCACTAGAGCTGCTGCTGCTCTCTCCAAGGTCCACCCCTTCCTCCACCTCATGCAGATCATCCATTACCTCCAGGCTTTCACAGATTAACCCTATCTGTCTCTTCATGTGGGCCATGGTGCTTTGCATCCTCCTCATCTTCCTCTGTAAGGCCATAGCAATGGCCCTGTGGTTCCTCTGCTTGGTCTCATACTCCTGTCTCAGCTCTTTGTAGCAGTTGTGCTGAGCCTGGGTGCTCTGGGTGAGTACCGTCCCACAACCCATGTGGCAGGGCTGGCGCCAGTGCTCACAGTTGGGTGCGTGAGCGTCCAGGTCCCTGCGGAGAAGCTGCACCTTGCAGCCCTGGTACGGGCAGGGGATGAGCTCGTACAGACAGCTTAAACTGTGGGAGTACTGCTCTGAGAGTGGAAAGGTGTCTGCACAGCCACGGATCTCATTTTTACACTGTGACAGAGATATATAGATAAACATTGATTTTTATTAATTCAAACAAAATTTAAAAGGTAATTCATTCCAAGCAAATGTGGAATTTAATATCACATTTTGAATGAAATGTTAATTAATATGTAATCTGAAATGTAAATCAACCCGTCATAACTACTGCTTATCCAATTAGACATTGTAGTGGAATGTACTCTATACAAAAGGACATGACAGTTCACAAATAACTATTTAAATTTCTTACCTTTATTTTCAGGCGTCCAATCGATTTGGTCAGCTTGAACATGACAAAGATCAAGCTTGGGTTTACAGGCTTCCTGCAGCATGGGCAGGTCTCCTGTCTAAACGAGTTAAAGACCTTACAGTCATTATTTCCCAATTTAAAGAGACAGCGTTTATTCAAAACACTGATCAGATGTTCACTATTCCTCACCTTCTTAGCCACTGCAAGATACATTTTTTGCAGAATATGTGGTGGCAAGCACTTCTCACGGGACATCTGAGAACCCCTTGACAAATGGTGCAGATCAAATCGTAGTCTGGAGGGTTTACAAACAGCTCCACATCGTAGCCCCCGCTCTGTGTTGAAACGTCTGCTTCAGCCTGGACACATGCAATTGGTTAACAAAGGTTTTGCTTGTGAGACGGAAGAACTAAAAGCTGAACTGAGATGGTGATCGGTGGCCTAGTGGTTAGGGCATAGAGCCTGGAATCCAGAAGTTCTGAGTTCAAGCCCCACTCCCACATACTGCCACTCTGGGTCCCTGAGCAAAGACCCTTAATCCCCATACTGCTTCCTGGGTGCCACAAAATGGCAGCCCCACGCTCCTGGGGAAGATATATGTATATAAAATATTGTGTTTTCCTTGTTCTATAACAAAAACTCTGTTCCCCCACAGCTCCCTGCCTGAAGAGGGATAACAAAACAGAATTGTTCTGGAAAATCATATGAAGAATCACATGATTACAAAAATAAATAGTGTCACAAACCTAGATTTTCTTTTGTCATTTTTTATACAAGAGTGTAAACGAAAAGAAATTTAGTTTAAAAAAGCTCTAGACAATTTCATTTTTTAAAGTGCAGCCTTGTAAACAGTAATAATTAAATGGGCGGTTCTAGACTGGGGCCAATTGGGGCCAGTACCCCTGTAGACCATGTCCTGGCCCCTGTACTGAAGACAAGCACCGGAACAGACATAGTCACTGATAGGTTTACAAATTCTTTTTTACAACAAGGTGATAGCTTAAGTGGTATTGAGATTGGATCCTAGTTTTCATCTGCTATTTTTTTTTTTAAACAAATGGAGAAAAAAACTAATTTTTACAGCTGAATTTATCAGTTTTTCTTGAGCTCTAATTCAGATTTTATAGAAAACAGTAATTTAACTAACACTAAGTCAAGAATATGTAAAATTCCTAAATTAGGAATGTATATTCGGTACATATCCAGCAGTAAATTTAGTTCATAACACTAGTGACCTATATATTATATTCATTATTTATAATGGTATTCATCCCTATACTAGAAATAGAATTTTAATTAAACCTATTTGAATAGAAATTTCACTTCATGCAGCTCTCTTAATATATTTGAATCCCTTGCCCTGTTTTCTGTTTCCCCATGAAAACACACTGGCCCCCTCCTGGCCCCCTGGTAAATTTGTTCTAGAACTGCTACTGAATAAAGACATAAAAATAAACAGATGTTCTTACCCTTTTACTAAAGTAACAATACAAAAATCCCTTCTATTTCCATATCATGGCTAAATTACTTTTTAATTCAGTCATATATACATATATATAGCATCAAACAGCTCACCTTAAACAGCAAAGATATTTCAAATAACGTGTTTATTTTTTATTTGTTGTCCATATTAAAAATCCCACATATAACAAATAGTAAACAGCTGTTTACTCACCATGACAACTCTTCCTCCCTTATGGTGTTTCCATCCTCTGTTCTGCTTTACTCCATATTATCAATATCTCACATGTCAGTCACAGACACACACCCTTGTTATCAATACAACACACACATGAACATTCCTGACAAAACATGAAGGAGGGAGTGAGAGCGGACAAATGGAGACCGTGGTTTTTACAGTGGGCTGCGTCCTTTCCCTGCTGTTCTAGCATCAAACTCGCTCCCCGTGTCTAGCGGGGAGTTTTTAAAACCCCTGTATGCCTTTTGTTTCGACTTATCCCAGTGAAAACATATTTTAAATCATTCTAGTTTCATCCTGGAAAGCCACTATACTTAATGGAAAATACATTTCAAGCTTAGAACTGGGATAATGTTTGGCTAAATATGTTTTTAGCGTTGCTAGCTAACAGATAGGCACGATGAAGAAACCGCCATATTGGAGAGGGTAACCGCTGATCACATAAATACTAGTCAACAATTCCATCTGGATAGAAGTATCAAATTTTTTTCAGATACCTTTTTTCAAGCGTTATTTTTTCATTGTAAATGTTTGTATATATTGAACTCATGTATTCTGACTTGAATATCATAAATTAGTTGTTTTCAATACATCTATAAAACTGTTATTTTATGTGCTCTACCATAAATATTCTTTATCTTAGAAATATAATTCTATAAACAGATTTTCTAGTGATCTGTTAGTGGGGGAAAAAACTACAATTAGGTGGACTATAATTGATATTATTGCAAAAATATTCTGCTTGTGCAGATAAAATAAAGTGAAAATTTGTGAGTATTATTGTTGGTCCAACTCTACCATCATTTTCTTGCAGTGCTGTTAATTAACTATCAAGGTTAAGATTTGGGCAAACAGGACTTAATTAAACACTTTATAAAATTCAAAAGCATACCACTGGCAAATGTGGTTACTCTGGAAAATAGGAAACAATAGAACATGTTATACTGGAATGTCATAAATATGAAAGCGAGAGAAGATATAGGAGGAGAGAGTTTGAATGTATTAAGGAAAAGATTAATTTATTAGATATTTTGAGGAAGAATTTGGGGAGTAAACATATATAAATAATGATTCGATTTTTAAAGAAAACTATATTTCACTGGCAAATGTGGTTACTCTGGAAAATAAGAAACAATAGAACATGTTATACTGGAATGTCATAAATATGAAAGTGAGAGAAAATATAGGAGGAGAGAGTTTGAATGTATTAAGGAAAAGATTAATTTATTAGATATTTTGAGGAAGAATTTGGGGAGTAAACATATATAAATAATGATTCGATTTTTAAAGAAAACTAAATTATTTCATAGAATTTGATTATAGAGAGGGTGAATGTGTGTATGATATAGACGGGTAGAATACAAAGTTATGTATAAGTATGTATTTTTTGTTGTTGTCGTTTTTTGTTTTCTTTTTTTCCATTAGAAATCATATATATGTTTATTAGTAGATAGCCCCTAACGAATCACACTCCATACCAGTAAGTGGCGGTAATGCTACTAAATGTTTGTTGCCAACCGCCAATAAATCCACGAAGAAGACGAAGACCAATCACAGCTTAGCTCGCTTAGATGGCCTACAACGTGTGCGACAGGGGTAACAACATGCGGGACGGGTTATGGTGCCTATAGTTAACATGTGAAATGAGAAACCCATTACTTTAATCGTTTTTATTTAACCAATTACTCCAAATAGGGAGGTCCCTATTGGCAATATGGCGAACTCAAACCTTCAATTTAAAACAAAGTAAGTTTATCGCTAACAGCGCTGCCTGCTCACTGCTAGCTTTACTAAACGAGTGTGATGGAAAGCTGTAAGCTCTCATTGATGGATTTTTTTCTTAATTTCATTACAGTTTTGCTGTTTCCAGTAAAATCGAGCCGTTTTACAAAGGAGGAAAGGTGCAGGTAAGGTTTGAGGGGTTTCTGACCTGTAGTGAGGTATCCGCGACTCGCCATTGAAATGCGAATTTTCTCTTTCCCAGATCAGCAAAGATGAGAAGTACGTGTTCTGCACGTGTGGATCTCGTGTCAATGTTTTGGAAATAAGCACAGGAAAGATCATCCACTCTTTGGAACATGTGAGTTCAGGAGACTTGGGTTTGTGGAATAAAACTGAAGCCATGTCAACATGCTAGTGTATATATTTCAATCCTATCTACATATTGGCTTTGGACATCAAAAACAACAAAAAAGTCTAACTATGCCAGTTATAAACGTAAACTAAAGTAAAATCTAGCATCTAGTGTTAAATGCTAACATAACTGAATCATGAGGTTTTTTTAAAATAAAAACAAGCTGTAAATATTTTATTTATTTTCATTCCTTCTAACTGTCTCTAAATTTCCCCTGCAGGATGATCAAGAGGATATCACCTCATTTTCTCTAAGCTGTGATGATGAGGTAAGGAGTGATTTCTTCACTGAATCATTAGAAGTTAACAGAAGAGCAAATTAAAGCAGCAGCATGTTTTTTTTTTTTTTTCTTGTGCCCAGCTGCTGGTGACAGCCAGCAAAGCTTTGTTATTGAAGCAGTGGGACTGGAAGCAGGCTAAATGCACCCGCTCGTGGAAGGCCATCCATACCATCCCTGTGGCTAGCATGACCTTTGACTCCACCTCCACCCTGCTTGCCACAGGTCACTGATGCCCTGATTATCATCACTCACCCGATTTCTTCTACAGCAAAGACAAACTTCTTATTTTAATGGCTTGTATTTGTTCTATAGGTGGTTGTGATGCCACAATAAAAGTTTGGGATGTGGTGAAGCAGTACTGCACACACAACCTTAAAGGATCATCTGGCGTTGTACAGTAAGTGTCTGCTACCATAAAGAAAGCACAGCAATGAGAATAAACAGACTATGATACAGCTGCAAACTTCTAACTAGCCGATGTTTATTTGAAAGGCAAACAAATCTGTTTGATCGTAAAGTTAAAAAAATCTGTTAAATTAATGTTCTTCATAGCTCTACTGGATTGTCACCTTCTAGAATAAACACTAATAAGTGTTTATTCAGATTGGGCAGAGGATCTCCACTGCTCACTTGGGATTAGGGTCAACGCTTCATCTTGATCGTTCTGTAACATTTATTTGCTTTGATTTCAATCGTTGCATTCTAGCTCTAGTTGTATGTTTACGGTAGGTAACCTGCTGGAGAAATAACCCTCACACCACGTCTCAATTGTTTTAGAGCTTCTAATAGTTTTTCCTGCAGATTTTCCCTGTTTTAAGCTTCATTAATATTCCTTTACAACTTTGATCAACCCCCTTTCCTTTCTTTATGAAAACCCTGCAGCATGATCAGGGTCCAAAATACATTTTTTGACTCAGCAGCCAAGTTTACCGGAAGACAAATTAATTTTGTTTTATTAAAAGAAGTTGTAATTTAGAATTTCATTACATGAATGGGGGAATAGCGGCTTAGGGCAGGCATCCCCAAACTCGGTCCTCGAGGGCTGCTGTCCTGCAGGTTTTAGAGGTTTCCCTGCTTTAGCACATCTGATTATCATGATTACAGTAGAGCTGAAGCCTGTTAATCAGCTTTCAATTAAAATCAGCTGTGCTGGAACAAGGAAACCTCTAAAACCTGCAGGACAGCAGGCCACGAGGACCGACTTTGGGGATGCCTGGCTTAGGGCATAGAGCTTGGAATCCTGAGGTTCTTAGTTCGAACCCCACTCCCACAGACTGCCACTCTGGGTCTCTGAGAAAGACCCTTAACCCCCGATGGCAGCCCACTGCTCCCCAACGGGATGGGTTAAATGTACAGTTACATAATTTCTCCAATGGGAGATCAATAAAGTACAATTAATTTTTTTCATTCATTCAAAAAAAAAGTGCAAATGCAAAATTTGATAACGTGGCCATGAATAAAATGATTAAAAAAAAAACAGCAAACTATTTTCATTTGTTATATAGTCCATAAATAAAAGCATAGCATTTCAACCAATGACATGGGCAAAGCAAAACATCTTCATCTTTTTGTGTTTGTTGTTGTAGCCATCAGCGTACTCACAGATGCTGTGGGTTGGGTTGTTTATATTGAGCCTGAGACGTTAACATCCAGGGATTGTGACATTTACTGTGTTTGTGTTCACTGATGTTCACCAGTTTCATAGGCTGACAGCCAGGGACACATTAATCATGTCTGTTCTCTTCTGTGTATTTGCTGCACACTGAGCAGGTCATGCGCTTAGCATTATCTTCCCAAAAGTGCAATTTTTCAATAAACTTTCTGTTTGCCCTGAGGGCTCTAAATCCTCGCTCCTCCTCATTAGCATGTTGCCTTTCAGAAGGCTTGGTTGCTCCAACTATTACCTGCCACAGGTTGCCTAGCGGTGGAGTTGTTGTTAAATGATGGGGTATTGAGGGGTGTGTTCTCTAGCCGTGTCTGAGGAACAAACATACAGAGGGGAGACTTAACAAAATAAAAGCTGAAAGGACCTTACTGAAGTGCAACTTTGGTCCATATATTTACTTTCCTTGTCACGAATGATGCTCTGACATTAACTTGACAAAATAAAAGATGTATTCGCATTTGGTGAGTGTTGGTTTCTGGCCCTGGGCATGATGGTGTCACCACTGTGTTTTGCTGTGGAAATAATGTTCAGAATGCTGTTCAGAATTATTCTTTTGCCACATATAGCACTTTGTATTTGTCTTATATATGCAGTGTTCCTTACATTGTTTATGGCACTATAAATGGCAAACTATATTTCCTAGAGACAGAACCCTACCTGAACTGGGAATCTGCAGCTCCTAAAGAGTTGCCATGGATCTGATTTCTCAGTCTGGTAGTTCAGACCTGTCACTTTCATTTATGTTTTCGGTTGTGACGTAATAAAATATGAAAAAGTTCAACATGTATGATGTTTTTCAAGATGCTGTGAAACTTTGATATAAATACAGTTGTAAGAAAATGATTCCCTAATTTTAAAAAAGCTAGTAATTTTCTTCCCTCTTGTGTTTGTGTAGCTTGGTCCAGTTTCACCCTGACATCAGCCGACTGCAGCTGTTCTCCTCGTCCCTGGACTGTAGCATTCGGCTGTGGGACCTGCGCTCCAGCCAGTGTATTTGCGTCCTGCAGAGCCACTACAGCGCCGTCACCTCTCTAAGCTTCAGCAGAGACGGTGACACCATGGTCAGGTACGGAGAAATGGCTCACAGGTTCTTTGTTTTTCTCTTTATTCTACTGCTGTGTGATTGACCTTACCTATTCTTACTGATTGGTCTGAATGCTTTGTAGTTCTGGGAGGGATAAAATCTGCACCGTTTGGGACCTCAAATCCCAACAGGCTAAAAGAACTGTTCCTGTTTATGAGGTAAGATGTGAAGTTTTCTTATCTTTCTTGGTCAATAAATATAAACAGAAATTGTTGCCTTTACTCTCCAGGCTGTAGAGGGGGTCGTGCTGCTGCCTGAGAAGACAGATTTATCTGAGATTGGAGTAAAAAGCAAAAACGAGCTTTTCGTTACAGCTGGCAGCAAAGGTTTGATCCACGATCCTCTTTATCTTCCTTTTTAAGTTTCTATCTCTCACCTTTGTTTCCCTTTTCTCCCTGCAGGTGTGCTAAGAGTGTGGGAGGCCAACACTGCTCGCTGTGTTTATACCCAGACCCTTCCCTCGACCCTCACTCCTTCCTCTGAGGATGAGGACGACGACAACCCTCGGGGTTTGATGTACCTTTTCCACTTGCCGGCCTCCTCCAGACTGGCTACAGTCACAGCAGAGCACAACATCCTCTTCTATCAGTTTCCCAGTCTCACCACACAGCAGCAGGTCAGTACTGGGAGTTACTAATTATTGACTGATTACATGGATAGTTTATCTCTATGCAGTTCTTGTTTAGAAAACCTTAGAGAAACTGATGAATATACTATTTATATTAAAAATTATCTAAACTACTTCTTTGCAATAGCCTGAGTTTTGACTTTAAAGTGAAATTTATTGGATGGGAAGGAGAGACTAGGCGGCCTGAAGAATATTCCTTGTTTCTTTTGTTTCGATTTCCAGCCAAATGTTGTGATTCATAAAAAACAAACTGTGTTTTTTCTCTTGATATGAAACTTTACTTATAGATCAACTTTTTTGATTCAAACTACAATGTGTTATGCTGGCAATGACAGATCCTTTCACTAATAATAATAATAAAAAACAGCTAAAATTCAAAATCAAAGTCTGCACATATTTAAATGTTTCCCTGCCTCCTTTCTCGAGTGATCAACGGGATGAGTCATAACACAGATCAATAAATAAATCCAATAAAGTGTGAGGAATTTACATGAATTACTGTAAACATTTAAAAACCACCTGTAAACAATGGTACACAACAACTTTTTAATTATTCTTGAAACTGGGAGAATCAGGAGGGAACAGGGATTACCAATGTTTCCTGTCCCAGAATGATGACCATTTATCACCTGATAAGACTCTATAGAGCGTTTCACTTAGACGTGTTGGACCCATCCCTGATCATCACGGGTGTTAAACAGGAGGAGGTCAGTGTACATTGATCAAAAAGAAAGCATAGTGCACAGTTCCAAAAAAAACAAAACAAATGTAAACCGTCTGTCAAAAATATAGAATTGGAATTGTATAATCATGAATTGTAGAAATGAAGTGAAGAAGTGAAAAATAGCAGCAACACCAGAGATGTGTTAAAAATGACAGCAGCATGTTATTTTTGCACTGAAACATAAATCTCTACTGCAGTGTAAGTAGTAGTTGAGAATAGTTGACAAAAGTTGTTTGATTAATTTAAGTGACTAAGACAAACTGTGCAAAAATCAGCATGAATATAAACAACTTATTGAGGTTGTTGGGAACATTAATCTGATTACGCTCCCTATTTGATAATACTCTGACAAAGGCCCAAAGATAGAGGGTTCTGTTAAGACATCATTAACAAAAATCTTGCTCCAAGCAGCTGTGTTACTCAGAGATACCATCAGCTATATAATACAGCTACAGGTCATAGAAGGATTTATGGACACTAGTGTCTCTGTACCTCTCCTAGTTTGTGGGTTACAATGACGAGGTGCTGGATGTGAAGTTCCTGGGTAAAGATGACAGTCACATTGTGGTGGCCACCAACAGCTGTCAGCTGAAGGTTTTCCAGCTGCTCACCAACAGCTGCCAGATCCTCTACGGACACACAGGTGAGTGACCAGCAGAGGGCAGCGCCTGGCTTTCCACTGGATGTGAAACAATCTGCCTTTATGTTTGCATTGAATTCTCTAAACTGTCTAACAGACACTGAACTTTTCTAAACTCCTGTTTTAATCCAAATAATCAGGGCAGTTTAACTCCAGAATAATTCAGATAGAGATGTTAAAACAAACCAGTCAGTCTAGAGGCGTCCAGATGTACATTAATAGTCCTTTCATTATAGTTTATTTGTATAGTGCCAATTCACAACATGTAATCTCAAGGCACTTGACAGATACAATTCAACCAGATCATACAGGGAAATTGATTCAAATTTTCTATCAAAGGAAAACCAGTTGATTGCATCGACTCATTGACTCAAATGCAATCCCTCACACCTAGCATGCTTGTAGCAACAGTGGAGAGGAAAAACTTTCTTTTAAAGGGAAGAAACCTCCAGCAGAACCAGGATCAGTGAGCGGCCATCTGCCGAGGCCGACTGGGGTTCAAGGAGACAGAAGCAGACCTACAGAAATAAGCAGATACAAAAGAAACTTGTAAACCCGCTCCACAGGCGGCCACGTCAAGGAAACGCACGGCCAGGCAGACGAGCATCGAGCTCCCATGTCAGAGGATGAAAAGAGCACATCCAGTTAGTCACAGTCAGAAAAACATGACTACACTGAACTAACAAATTCTGCAGAGTGGGAGAATAGAGATAGAATGATGAAAAAGGGGTCCCTGTGTCCTCCAGCAGTCTAAGCCTATAGCAGCATAACTATAGAGATAGCTCAGGATAACCTGAGCCACTGTAACTATAAGCTTTATCAAAAAAGGAAAGTTTTAAGCCTACTCTTAAAAGTAGACAGGGTGTCTGCCTCACGGACTAAAACTGGTAGTTGGTCCACGGAAGAAAAGCCTGATTGCTAAAAGATCTGCCTCCCATTCTACTCTAATTTTAGGAACCACTAGTAATCCTGCAGATAGAGAGCGAAGTACTCTGTTAGGAACATAAGGAACAATCAGATCTGTGATTTAAGATTGAGCTTGGCCATTTAAGGCTTTATATGTGAGAATGAGGATTGTAAATCTAAACAGAAAAATGTTTTTACTTATCAATTTAACTTTTAATGTTTCTAACATAGAAGAGAAATGCGTTTATAGAGTTAGAATCTGAAACAATCCGGTCTGTAAAGATCAGGTTTATGACTGGCTTAACAGGTTGGATGAAGCTGTATGTTTATTTCCGCTCTGTTTCCTCTTTTTGTCCTCCTCAGATACTGTCCTCACTCTGGATGTGTTCAAAAAAGGTTCTCTGTTTGCAAGCTGTGCAAAGGTAAACGCCAAACCTTCAGCCTGAAAGTGAAGAGGGAACAATGTCCAGGAAAGATTAACAGTGTTTATCCATGCAGCTTCGGTTTTTCATCAATGAATCAAATGATTTCCCAAAGCTTCCTACATTTGCTGGTTGTTTGTGTGTGTTGAGTGTAGGACCGATCGGTGCGCGTCTGGCAAATGGACAGTGACAGTGGTCAGGTCCGATGTGTAGCTCAGGGATCCAGCCATACCAATGCTGTTGGCTCCATCAGCTGCTCCAGGTGAAAATTCTCCCCTGCTAATCTTTGACCACTGGGATTACTTATCTCCCCCCACAGACACACAGTGTAAAAGCTGTGGATTAATGGAGCTCTATTGCTGAATTTCTCCCCTTGTTTTTTCAGGATGAAGGCTTCCTTCATTGTGACGGGCAGTCAGGACTGCACTGTGAAGGTGTGGGACCTGCCTGCAGCTTTTCCTGGAAAAGAAATCCATCAGCTGGTCCCCCGTACCACAGAGAAAGCACACGATAAGGTACAAAAAAAGAACATCCCACAGTCTTAAAGGCAACGGTTATACTGTAACTCCAAGTAGAGATCAGGGAACGTTTCCTTGTTTGATACAGTTTGGGTTTAAAGTTTTTGTTTTCAAAACCTTAATAATATTTTAGTTGAAGTAGTCCCGAAATATTAATGATTTCAGGATTTACCCAAATAACACTTATTTATGTTTTTCGCTTATCAAATAGCCCTTAATTAGACTACTAAGTAGAAGCTGATGGGGTTTAAACTCTGTTCTTTTTAAAATCTCTGTTCTGATTTTAGATATGGACATTTTTTATGATCTTGTAATCATATTTGCTAACACATAGAGGTTATACAGATTTTCCTTACCTAAATCATCATGTTCTCTTGTGTTTCCAATTTTGAGGAGTGGCTAAGAGATATGGGCCTCTGACAAACCTTATTTCTACCCCAGGTTTTTCACACTTGGTCTTTTTCCATCATGTAAAAGATCAAAATCTTTGTTCCAAACGTCACACATCAACAAGCATTTTTACAAGTGGCCTTTATCTGTAGTTTGTTTGGAATTTCACGTTTTTGTTCCTTCTCATAAACTGTGTGTAACTGTTGCATAATGTCAATTTTTTTTGTTCTTTGGAGCATTAGAGTCAGTGTTTTTACCTGGATCAGGTTCAGTTTATTAGATGTGAATGGGATGATATTGCTGTTTGTAGTTTTCGGGGGGAAAAAAAAAATCTGCGTTCTTTCTAGGATAACCCTTTCTAAGCTTGTCCAAGTGTTATTTCAAATTTTCCCAGCTGGCCCTAAAATTGTTTTAATAAAATTACAAAATTATGAATTACATAAATGGAAAAAATACTAATAAAACTAGGGCTGCAATACATCTATTTTGCTAATCTGTTGATTCTTTTTGTTTTCAAATAATTGTTAATTGGATGGTTAAAAGTTCCTTAAAAAAGATTTTACACAAAACCCTGCCCTTTGAGTACGCCTGAATAGAGCATATTAACCATCTTGAATTAAAATGTTTACATATTTTTTAAATTTCTGGTCTAATAACTGCTCTAAGTTGGTTGCACTTTCAGCTAAAATCATGTTTTTTATGTTTTATATTAATTATTGCTAAATTAGTTGAGGCTTATTTAAAAAAAATGTATTTATCTTCATTATCGGAAGATTTCAGCCCTAAATAAAACCTGCCTCTCTAAATATTTAGGATCCCTTAAAGTGAGATGTTGTTACTCTAAAATTAGCAGCGTTTTTTTCACATCTTTTATAAGGGGGGAGGGTGAATATGAGGCTATTTTTTGTCCAATTTTTTTTTAAAGGGGGTTTTAGCTACATTTCATCCAGTTTTCAGAAGGTTTTATTATTGTTTTTCCTGCTTTTTTATTCTGTTTTCAAAAGAACAGAATAAAATGTCATTGTATGCATTTTTTACGCATATCTTTTATCTCTGTCCATTTAGAATATATAACATTGGGGGTTCTATGTCATTCTGCATTTTCCATTCTAAATGTCATCTAATTATATGTCAGAGGTTTGAGTAAAAGAAAAGGGGCCAGTCAAACCTGTTTCTAAATTAGAGAAAAGGGACGGGTAGAATTTGCTGTGTTAATGGGCATCTGCAGATTTTATTAATAGAACACATGTTGTGTTGTGGAATCCCCAAAGTCTGAAATCTCATTGTGGAAACTGGTTTATGCAGATTAGCTGTGCTAGGAAGGAAATGCTGGCTCATTTTTGGAGTCTTACTCACTCTAATCAGTGAGATGCAACAGAGAAACATTTTCCAATGGCACTCTTTCCTGTTTCACCTGCATGCTTCACTCAGTAGAAGGACAAAAGATTATTCTGTGCCAGGTTACCACATTCCTTTAACACATAGTTAACATGTGTCAGGCCCTGTTACTCTGGGAACGAGTCTGAAATGCAGGAATGCAAGGAATCTGTTCCTCCTGGAGGGGGAAAAACTCATAAATCCATTACTATTTTAACCTTTTTAATCTTCAGTGCTCTGAATTTTCTTGTTTTTCCTTTTTGTCTGATTTTTATGCTTCTCACCTTTAATGTTTCTGCAGGATGTAAACAGTGTTGCAGTGTCTCCTAACGACAAACTGCTAGCCTCTGGCTCCCAGGACCGCACAGCCAAACTCTGGTCCCTATCAGGAGATGGACAGCTGGGGCTCCTGGGGGTGTTTCGGGGCCACCGTCGGGGGATTTGGAGCGTCTGTTTCTCTCCTGTGGACCAGGTCCTGGCTACCTCCTCTGCAGACGGCACAATCAAACTATGGAGTCTGCAGGACTTCAGCTGCCTGAAGGTGAGGCTCCACCAGGGGACCACAGATACCTGCTATCACATATTTTGTCATTTCTGAAAGCATGTCAAGATAACGAAGAACTGTTGATCATTTTATTTCTGTCAGACGTTTGAAGGCCACGATGCATCGGTTCTGAAAGTGATCTTCGTGAGCCGCGGCACCCAGCTGCTCAGCAGGTACGATGGCAGCCCCAAGGGGATGGGTTAAATGCAGAGCTAAATTTATCCAATATGAGATCAATAATGTTCAATTAAATATGATCAAATCACATTACATAATACTTCCAATTAAATATTAAAGTCAAATGTTGACTTTAATAAACGTTGATTAAACATTTTCCTGCAGAGGTAATGGAGCCTTTTGAACATATTTGAACTCATCAGGGTGGTTGCGCTGTAGGTGGTGGTAGTTGGATGTGTTAATTTGGGTAGTCTCAACAGTTTTCAGACAAACTTTGCATTTCGTGTTCTTTTACTCAACATCTATGGCATAATTTTGGTGCCACCAAACTGAGTGTGCACTGAGAATAATGTGCATCTTTTAAACTTGCATACCTTCACTTAAAACTGGTCTGCTGCATGCAAAACTCTGACAATGCGCTCTCAACTACTTCTCTGCACGCTCAGCTTCATCTCTGCCCTCGCTCCGCTTCATAGGAATAACTGATGTAATTTCGTTCACAGCCTCACAGGACCTAGGGCTGGGCGATAATTCAATAACGATATATATCGATCGATAGACGTGTGGCGCAATAGAAAAAAAAGAGGGTCGATAAAAGTTCGATAAAAAAGAAACGCAGTTTTCCTTCCTTCTCATTGTAGCCTAGCATGTAGGTTTATGCTAGTCACTGCTTCCTCCCAACCAATCACAATCGCGGACCCAGGCATGCCGTCACCAAGCGCCGCCCTCTCAAACCACAACACAGAGCACATGAAGATGCAGCAACGAGAGGCGGAGGAAATTGTTTCAAAGAAAGGTTTCTGTCGTTCGGCAGTCTGGCAGTATTTCGGTCATGGCAAGTCGGACCAAAAACAAACCACAGTCATCTGGAAAATGTGTCGGGAACCAGTGAAAACCAGTCTGATAACGAAACCAACTTTTTTTTTTATCATCTCAGCCGCTCACAGCCGCAGGAGTACGAGCTGTTTAGGCCCGGTACGGCTCTCCTCCGAGGAATCTTCGGAAAATATATATATATTTTCAGTTCTGGGCAGTTTCCCACGTAGTTCTAACAATTGAGATAAAAATGCTGAGGGGCCAGAAACTTCAAAGTAATAACTCAGGTTAAAGCAGGAAATGGGGGCGGCGGTGGGGGGCATTTATTTATTTGTTATATTTATTTTGGTCACTTTTCTGGTCACTTTAGTTTATTCTTTGTCAGTATTTAATGACATAACTCGGGTCTCTTAAGTTATTTTTCTTTAAAACAATTCTGTTATGGTTAAAAAAGTTGGTTAAATAAAGATTTAATTCGAAGTCTGTGTTTGTGTTTTTTATTAAAATTAAATCATTTAGCAATATTATAAAAAGTCCAGGCAGAGCTGCACATAAAATATGGTTTCAAATCTTTTCAATAATTATCGATATCGATCAATATGCATTTTTTTTTATCGATAAGCTTTTTTTCTATATCGCCCAGCCCTAACAGGACCCATCTGCCATTTTCTTTTACGCTTTTGACTGGATGGGTGGAGTCACATGATTTCCCACATGTATCTTCTAGTGGAAGGAAATACCAGCCACCCTCTCACAAGGAAAAACAGCAAAATTAATTTTAGTTATTTTACCGACACAGGAAAATTGTCGCCAGTTATTGAGATAAATGACGGTAACTGTAAAAATCCGGTTTATCACACAGCCCTAACGAGAGTAAAGTTTTAGAGCATTCTTATTTAAATAAATGACTCCAAACTTAATCAGAATGGATGAAAAAGTTTCATCCTGAATGATTGATTTTAGGTTTAGACTTTGACTGAGCCAGTCTAGTATATGAATGCTCTACGATCTAAACTGCTGCTGCAGCTCTGGCTCTATGTTTGGGGTCCTTGTCCAGCTGGAAGGTGATTCAACACCTCAGTCTTCCGATGTTGCCTTTTTTTTTTAACTCGGTCCACCTTTCCATCCATGCAACATGTCGCCTTCATCATATTTCATAGTGGATGTGATTGTATATTTGCAATATATATTTTAGTTTTCAATGTATGCAGCTGTTAAAAAAAACAAACCTCTAAATGTTGTTCGGTTGACTTTTTCACCTCAGCGGAGCAGATGGTTTAGTGAAGCTGTGGACTATAAAGACCAATGAGTGCGTGAAGACGTTGGACGCCCACCAGGACAAAGTGTGGGGTCTCCATGGCAGCCGTAAGGACGACAGGATGGTCACAGGCTCGGCAGACTCAAACATTACAGTTTGGATGGTAAGTTGTGGTTTGTTGATTGTCACCGGCTTATTGGCTGAAGACCTTACTTCAAAGAGAGGAGTTCAAAGTAGATTAAATACACTCTGGTCTTGCCAAGTGATGTACTTTATGAAGTACTTTTTTAACCTTTTTGGATTGCTGCACAGTAAAGTTCTTTTTGTGTCAAAACAACATTCTTGTTTTCTTTTGTTCAAATATGGTGACATTTTTTTTTTTTTTTTTCATCCTTTACTGCTAATACTCTTATTTTGGAAAAGTGCTGTTTTCAGTCATAAGGGGTTTCTAGAGAGCTTATGTGTCCTTTTGCATCACTAGGATGTGAGTGAAGTGGAGCTGGCAGAGGAACAGGCCAAACAAGAGGATCAGATACTCAAGTAAGAAACATATTCCAAATTTCATTGTTATTTCTTTTCTGATCTGCTGTTATTTCTTAATGTGGTTTTCAAACTCTGTTACTCATTTGTTAAACCTTCCCTTCATGTACAGATGCATCTTATTCAGGGCTGCATAATACCAGGAGAATATATATTTGCTATAGAGTTGCTAAATATAGTGTTTTGAATAAATAACCAACCCAGAAAGCGTTTCGTATGTTGATATATTATATGGAGTACTTTTTTTAACCTATTTTGATGAGTATGCTTTAGAGTTTCTGAAACTACAACATTATATATTCCATTTTTTTCCTTCCACTAAACTTTCCAGGAGTATGCATGGTGAATAGGCAGCTTCTTTTCCAGTTGCTTAGATGAGTTAATCCATCAATCTGTACCTCTAACATTAAATACATGGCAGCTGTAATAAATCTGCAATGTTTGAATTTCAGTAAAATAACTTTTTAATTATGTTTTTCAAAGATCATGTGTATTTAATGTAACACATGACATCATGACCTGGATTTAAAGATAATGTGACCAAGGTATTAAACATAATTTGTAGGATTAAAAAAGTTTATGCCTCATGAAATGTTCATCTGTTTTTAGTTGATGTCTTAATAGCCTTTTAGCGCTTCAGGTTCTGACCAGCAGGTTTGTTCTGTGTGCATCTGTTGTGTCTGAAGGCACCAGGAGTTGTCCAACCTGCTGCATGAGAAGAAATACCTGAAGGCCCTAGGCCTCGCCATCTCACTAGACCAGCCGCACACAGTGCTAACTGTTGTCAAAGGTACTTTGTGTGACTTGAACTTCATTGTCCTCTCAAAGATCATTTATTACACAACCTTCTTTTGTTTTTGATTTTATCTCTCTCTGAAAGACTTCTCACAGAGTCACTTGTGCATTTAAGCATAAGCAGAAAAGGCATGAACTTTTCTTAACAATAACTAGTTGTTATGCATGAGCTCAGGAAAATCTCTATAGAATGTGACAAAAAAAAGATTTAGGCTGTCCGAATATCCACCTTAACCTCTGAATCACTATATGACGTGCAGCCTTGATGAGGTAAGCAGCAGCAGTTGTTGAGCTGCTACTACTGCCTCCAGCTCGTGAAGTCTCCTATATAGAGTGGAGACTATATACTGGACTTAATTGTGAACTTATTTAAATGATCATTCGGACAGTTGATCACTACTGTTTGCTCCCCATTGGTCATGTGATTCCAGCTCCCGGCACAGTTCCTGCGCCAATCTTTGCTCTCTCTCACCCCCAAAACACCTCCCATGATGTTTTGCGACGAGTGCTCTTGCAAAGCATTCTGGGCAGACATTTGGCCTTAGACTCCTGAATATTGACAGGAGGAAAGAAAGGATGCAGCAGACCTTTAGAAATTCCCCAATGGGCACAATCCTGCCTTTTAAAGAGCCTTCTGTATATTTATTTAATAGAATAAAAGAATAAAAAGCTGATCAGTTTTGTATGTGCAAAATATTGACCTTTTTCTGAAAGTGGCATCAAGAAAGCTGCTAAATGATGGTTTGCTGTGTTGTTTCTAGCAATTCGTCAGACAGAGGACAGCAGTGAGCTGCTGGAAAAGACACTCCTGAAACTACGGGTGGATCAAAAAGGTAACATCAGCGGAGCTTGGTTTATATGGAGACAGATCTTTGATTAAAATACATTTTCTCCAACACTTGGAACAGATGTTTTTATCTCCAGTATCTAATGTTCTGGTGTCTGTTCCCCTCAGAGTCGCTGCTGCGCTACTGCGTTGTGTGGAACACCAATGCCAGGAACTGTCTGGATGCCCAGGCTGTCCTCCAGGTTCTGTTGAAGCACCTGCCCCCCGAGGAGCTGCTGCAATACCAAGGGGCCCGAACACACCTGGAGGGTCTCATCCCATACACAGGTCAGCTCATATAGTCATAACGCAATAAATATGTTGCTACGATCCACATGCAAGAGCAAAAAACACAATTACAGCTGATTCTGCTGGAAAAAGGAAAAAAGCAGCTTGTCCCCTTTCGAACAGACAGCCATGTGTGTGTGTGTTATAGAAAGGTATAAGGAAAAAGGCTTGAAAATAAAATAAAGTGCATCCTGATTTTGCACATGAACTCTTCCCACCTTCTTGCTCTGATCACTAAAGATATAGTGGTGGATGTTCTTTTTCCGGGTGGATCATCAAAATAAGTGGTCCTCCCAATTATCAATCATTCTGGTGATGTTTAAAAAAGGCCGTCCTACGTGCTTGTCCTCTTTTTCACTTACCAGTGATGAGTCTAACATAGTGGAAAAATTGCAAATCTTCTTATAGAAAGTAAGCTTCTATGAACAATGCAAACAGCAACTTTTAAACAGAGCGTGCACAAGGAGAAAGGGGACTGTGCATGCTCTAACACGTGTTTAATAGGCATTCAGGAGCGGGTACAGGGTTGTGCATGTGCATTTTTGTTTGCAAGTGGAAAGGGCGAGTCTTTTCAAATATTCATTATACCTTTAAATAAATAGCCATCAGCATAGTGTTAAATAAAACAGCACCAATTAAATTTCAAGTATTTCTGAAACTTTTCCTTTTTTTACTTATAGTTTGATTCTTGTGCAGAAAAAAAAAATTGTTTACAGTATATTCCACCTGACTCTATCTTTAGTTAAAGGTGTTTTTTTTTTTTTTAAATGAGCCTTCCAAAGTGCAGTGCCTTCCAAAGTGCAGTGTCCATTTATGAACTTTAAGTACTAGTGAGTATTAGTCTACCTTTTCTGAAGGCTGATCAAAGTCTTTAACAACTTAAGCTACATTCAACCTGCAGGCATATGTGACTCAAATTCTGTGTTTTTGCTCCTACATGATTCATATCCAACTTTTTTCACAGTAGTCTAAACGGCCCAGTTCTGATCTTTTCCCTTCCAAATAATTCTGATTTAAAGATATCTTAAAGGAAGCAATGAAGCTTTATTAAATCCTTTAGGACAGTTGCATTTCTCATTGCTTCCAGAAACAGAGCGCTGCCGTTTGACGTGTACTTTCTTCCTCTCCATGTAGGGATCACTATGATGTCCTGAAGCTTTCAGACTGAAGTCGCATTTAATTACTATTAGCTATGTCACAATTCAATACTAACATTGGATATCGGTCCGATATTAGCCTGCTGATGGACACCATCCACTTCTCTTAAAAATTTATTTAACCCATTGATTAATAATAAACGGCTGTGTCGTTCTCTTACCTATTTGTTGTTTGAGCGATATCACTTGATGAAGTCTCTTCTATGATTTTACACTAAATAATGAGTGATAATCAATAGTCGGCATTATTTGTGCATATTGTATCGGGTCATTATGGTATTGGTAAATACTCAAAGCTGCAATATCAGTATCGTATCTGAAATGAAATAGTTGTACTGGGACACAGCTAATCCCTATGAAGGAGCACACAAAAAGGATCAGATTAAAAAAAAAAAAAAATCCAAATTGAGCATGTAGACCTGCTCTGTGGACATTAATTTGGATTTTCGACGTTTAAAATGCAATTTAACAGAATGATCATCAGATTCTACTATTAAGGCCATGCTAAGTTTTTAATAAAAAAGGCAGCAGGACTTCTCATTTCTACCTTTCCCCTGTATATGTGGTAGCCTTGTATTATATTTGAATTAGATTTCTGAATGTTATTTAATTAACAGGTTGTTTATTCTGCTTCCCACAGAGAGACACATGGAGAGGATCGGCCGTCTGCTGCAGGCGTCCATGTTTCTCAACTACATGTGGCAGAAAATGAGAGTCGTTGGATCATCATCTGGGTGAGATATTTAACTCTTCAGCTTATTTACTTCACTTTATTTCCTGATGAGTTGCTTGCTTGTCTTGTGTGTCCGGTTATTAGTTGGAGATGAACTTCACATTTTAAATTTTAGTTTCCTTTTGCGGCTCGCTGAGCTGCATTTTTGTCTCTGCAAAAAAAATATAAAAGAAAGTTGTAAACAATTTACTGAAGGGTTTTAGACTTACTGTAGCTGACTGACAGAAAAAAAAATGCAAGTGATCACCTAAAATATTCTGCAAACTGTAGCTTTTTTTCCTGATATTATCAATTTCTTGTATTTGTGTCCAGTATGGAGCAGGATGAAGAGATGGACACCACTCCTCTCACACAGACGAAGCCCTTATTTTTCATTGACAAAGAAAAAGAAGACGACAGCCGTAATGAGAGGGGAGACCAATGTGATGACGGTGACAGCGGGCAAGAAGAGGAGCCGTATTCTTGGATCAAAAATGAAAATGAGCCCTTTGAAGTCAGCGCCTCGATGAAAGCCTCCTCTAAAAACAGACGGAAGGCAAACGGAAAGCGCAGCCAAGAGTCAGAGAGCGAGGAGAGCTCAGAGGAGGAAGAAATGGAGGACCACCATGCAGTGCAGCCGATAAAACATGTCCGGATTTCGCCGCCTCCACAATGTCTGACTTCAAGCTGACAGGACTGCCGAGACAGACCTCTGGAAAGAAAGCTGTAGAGGTTTTCCTTCTGCAGATCATTTACTTGCTGACTGTAGCCATCAAGGAAACAAAGGGGGAATTGATGCAGGCAGCAGGTTTCAACGTTAATATCCTCAATCAGTTCCTCTGTGCAGGTTTGAAAAAAGGAGACATAAAACATTGAACCATTTCGACTTTATTTTAGGTAACATCAAAGGACCACAGGTGTCTAAGCCTTGTGCCAGGGCATTTATTTACAGGTTTAAAGCAGCACATAATCCCTATATCTGGGATTATAAATGTACTGCTTCCGTATGTGACCCAAACTGAAACAAACATTTCCTAATGTAGGGATTCAAGTTGATTAATAAAATATTTTCACTATTTTGTTAAAGAAGTAAGCTTATATTTTTCATATTTTACATTTGAGTGATCTTGCTTGAATAAAATCAGCTGATTTGAATGGAAGATGTAGGATTCTTACTGAATGGGAATTAATAAAGTCAAGTATTTAACTCTTATTCCAGAGAAATGTTTTTGCAGTGTGGAATGTGTGACCAACAAGGAAACTAGAAGAGCTAAAGCCATCAACTGTCGCACAACAGGGTTTTTTTTTTTTTTTTGCAGCTTTCTTTAGAAGCCTCCTAAGCCTCCGCAGTTAAAAAGGAGACAGGAATGCTTGAAGGTCTGAGGTTGTTTTATGGGAGTAGGATGAAATTCTTACTTGATGCCAATTCCTCTCTGGGATAGAACATGATTCCTCCAGTTCTTTACAACCAAAAATAGCAACTTTCATAAGTCTTCATACCCCATAACTTTTTGTCACATTAATCACAACCAGCTTATTTCATTGGGGATTCAAGTAATGGACGACAAAGTAGTTCCTGATTGTTAAATAAACTCAAAGTGATCCAGAGTTTTCACATTATTTCCCCACCCAATAACAAAAAATAGTATTTGTATTCAGCCTCCTTGAATTAAGTAAAGCATTAGGTAAACAAAGGCATCATGGAAAACAAGGGACGCAGTGGACAGGTAAGGAAAACAGCCAAGTTTAAAGCGAGGTTAGCTTATAAATCAATATTTCAAGATTTAAACATCTTCCAGACTGCTGTGCAAACCATAATCTTGAAATAGAAAATAACTGTAAAACTACCAAGACATGAACATTTATCCATACCAGGAGTTTCCTTATTCTGGTCCTTTAGAGCCCATTTCCTGCATCTCTCTGCCTCTGCTCACCTGGTTTCTACTGATCCTGATAATTGGGCTTTAGCTGAACTGCCATTACCTCAGTCAGCTGTGTTAAAGCAGGGGGGCATCTAAAACATGGAGGACTTAGTAGCTTACTTCTGATACAACTATAAGTTTGTCTTTCATATAGAAGTTATTGTTGATAAGAAGTCAGGATAATTCCCAGGAAGCGCTCGTACATTTTTTATTGGCCTTCATGCAAAATGTTACACATAGCAGAAAAGTGACATTCTTCTCTATGAAACATGGTGGAGGAAGAATCATGAAATATGGCATCTGTCACAAGAGTTAAGGTGATGTAAAAGTGAATTATTGAGACAAACTTACAAAGAACTAAAAACGCAATAGATTTAATATAAAAAGGATGCTTTTTCCTAGACTGTTTTTTATATGTGAAAGACCATTTGATTGAAAAAGAGAGAATTCAAGTGAAGAAATTTTGATATATATTTATTTATCTACAATTAACTGATATTTACAGACATCAGGAACAGCAGATATTGATGTTGATCCAAAACAAAAGACACACGACTCTTCTACAGTAAGTTGAATATTTTTATATTCAGCATTTGAATTTTCTTTTTTGTATTATTTAGATTTTGTTGATTCCAAGATCATTAAAAAAATGTAGTTTTTATCCCTAAGAAAACTGACTTAGATAAGATTAGTTGTAATAATAACGAAGCCAAACTTCATTCTTCAGGTTTTATCGGCTGGTTTCCTCGGTCTGTGTGGATGATGGGTTGCTCTTGGTTGCGTTCTTACGGGTGACGCTGGTACAGCGGCTGAGAATGTCCTGGGCCCGGGGTCTTGGGGGCACCGTGGGGAACCTGGGGCCCTTATATAAGTTGGGGTCAGAGACACTGGGGAGTAAAGTTCCCTCATGGTTACCTGTTGGGTTCAGGCGGTTGGCCACCATGGGAGGGGGCGTGCGGGACAGTCGCAGCTGTTCGTCGTTGGCGCCATACCTCAGGCTGAGGGTTGAACCGGCAGACATGGACAGGGAATCATCACTGAAGCTGTCGCTTTCAAAGCTGTCCACCGACTCTGCTCTGAAGATCCCACCCCTCTCCTCCCCTTCTTCATCACTCTGCACCATGATAACTGGAAGAGGAAGTTGCACCGCAGGAGTTGGTGTAGTGGGGTGTTTTTTGGCTGGAACAGAAAGGATCGCTTCAGGCTGAGTATAGGGCTCCTCAGACAACATGTTCAGAGACTGTGACCTGTTGAAGCTTTCTGTTTGGATCGGGCTGGGGGAGGCGGGCCTGGAATTGGGAAGCTGAGTGAGGTTACCAGACGAACGGCTGTGGTGTAAGGAAGAGGAGGGTGAGAGGAAGGAGGAGTTCTGCACATGATGCTGAGGCGCCATCTGAATGCGAGGGTAACTGTGGGGCTGCAGGTACAGGGTTGGAATGTAGCCGATTTTACCATTGTGTCTGCAAATTGAAAAGATCAATCATTAACATCAGCAAAGAGATTTAACCACAACCTGAAAAAAATAGAGTTGGACTTTAACTAGGCCATTGTAAACCATGACAAACTTGCCATGCATTTACCCCAATTGGTCCTGCTACTACTACTGAGCAATTTATCAACCCCCTCTGATAAAACAAAAAACACCCCCATACTCCAAAGTTAGAATATTTTTTAAAAGGTTAATGTGCAGCATTTTGTATTGTGGCCAAAAAAGTCAAAATATTCGAGATCTTCAAAGCTTCAGATATTAAATGTCTTTTCCTTCATCTTCCTGCTGCTGTTCGTTCACTGATATTATCTGGCTAACCCTGAAGAGCAGCTATATTTATATAGAGATTCTATTACAAAGAGGTTGAGATCATTTACAAATTTAATTCGGAATTATTACTTGCAGCTTAAAGGCATAGTGGAGGATTTCTTTTTCTGGGTGGATCATCACAATAAGTGGTCCTCCTAACTGTCAAATTTCACTTACCAGTGGTGAGTCTGATATAGTGGAAAAATTGCAAATCTTCTTTTGGAAAGTAAGCTTGTATGAGTGATGCAAACAGCAACTTTTAAACAGAGCGTGCATGAGGAGAAATGGGCTCGTGCACGCTCTTACACGTGGCATTTCCTCTCAGGATCGGGTACGGATTTGTGCATGTGCATCTTTTTTTTTTTTTTTTGGAGTGGACAAGGATGTTCTTTTCAGAAATTTGCGAAAATCCTCCACTATACTTTAAATAGGGATTAATTTAAACCCTTGTAGAATAGCTCAGATCTTACCTGACGAGCCACCAGCCGTTTTCAGATTTCTGCAGGACCTCCACCACTGCACCAATGTTCACGCTCACTTCATCCACTGTGGTGGAATTGTAGTTCTTGACGGCTGTGTAAAGCGAACCTTTGGGTGGCACAAAAAAAACCTTTAGACATAATCTTCAACTTTCCAACCATTATAGTCGAGGCGTTTCTTTCTGTTTGGATACCTCGTTCTGGTATCCCATCAGTTTCATATCCATCCTCCTCATCATCATCCAGCTTATCCAGATAGGGTGCAGGAAACCAGGCCATTCTCTTCTCCTCATTCTCTACAAGCCACCACCCTGCAGATATAATCAGCACTGATGAGAATAAATCTGGGACTGTAATAGAAACAGCTCTAGTTCCGTGTTACTCACCGGCTTTGTCTTTGATAAGAACGTCGAGCTTCTCGTCCACAGCGGCTTTGAAAGGTTTGTTTTTGGTGTCTTTGGTTTCATATGGGGCGACACATCTGTAGGTCTCTGTGACGAATGGCTGGGTCACATTACCACTGCTGTTATGTCCTCCAAAACTAGTGATCTCATCCTCAGAGGGCATGATCATGATACTAAGGTAAATAAACACAGATATCCCCACATTAAACACTATATTAACATCCCAGATCAGATTTAATCACAGTAACTTTCTTAACTTCACAGTACATAAAAATAGGCACGTCCTGAGATAACTATCATTTCCGATATATAATACCAATATTGACCCAAAATGATCTCAGCACAAATCATGATCATTTTCACCCTAAGCTGTCGTGGGTGTGATCATATTGGCTCTGCAGTATGCAAGCGCTGCTGAAGCAGATTAAAAGATGCTACAGAACGCTTCTATTAGCGCTCTTATATCAGAGATTTTAGATGCAACATGCTTTGGCTTATATTGGACTGACATCCTACACCTGCATTAACTGCCTTCTTCTAAATCTCATTAAGATGTATTTGGTTTAGCTAAAATAAACCCATCTATTTACCGCATGTCATGGTGTTTACTTCTAATTGGTTAAAGGAATAGTGGAGGATGTTCTTTTTCTGGGTGGATCATCAATATAAGTGGTTCTCCTAATTGTCAACCATTCTGGTTGTATCTTTACGTAAGGCCGTCCTACGTGCTCGTCCCATTTTTCACTTACGTGTGGTAAATCTGACATATTGGGAAAAACTGCTAATTTTCTTTTGGAATGTAAGCCTGTAGGAGTGATGCAAACAGCAACTGCCTAGTGTTAAACAGAGTGTTTATGAAGAGAAATGGGCTCTTGCATGGGTTTAATAGTCCCCTCTAAGGACCGGGGAGGCATTTTTTTATTTTTATTTTTAAGTGGAGAGGGCGGGTGTCTTCAAAAATTTGCAAAGATCCTCCACTATACCTCTTTTTATTCTCTTATCCAACAGCAGCTCCTTGGTTTAGTATGGGTTAATTCAGAAAGAACCAGAAAACCCAGCAGTATATCCTGCCTTATGGGTTTGGAACCAGGCCTGATCACTCTATCAGGTTTGTGACAAATTATTTTTTTTTTATTTTTTTTTTTTTTTTTTTTTTTTTTTTTGCTTGTTGTTGAATCCAGAGTGAGGAAGACAATTGGTGAAAAAGAAACTCAGCTTGCTATTTCCTGCCTATCCGTGGCAAACAAAACCCCTTTTGTAGCAAATTTCTCCTTTAATCACAACATAATCTGTTATCTTATAGTAATTACCAGTTCCCAATTACCTTAAAGTGCAAATATCCACGATTAACCATTGATAAATCTAAAGGCAGAAAATAAATCTGTTCTTTTTTTCTTCAAAATTTTCCTAGAGACCTAACAATTATTTATTTGTATAATTATGAGACAGATTTTGATCACGGTTATAGTTTGGTGTAGCATATCTAGGCTAAACTACGAATCAGTTGTAGGGTATGTGAAAAAAAACTTTTAGTTATCAGAAAGCCCCAATAACCAAATATTGATTTAGCAGGATGTGCAATAATTTCTTTTGTTTAGTTTTTTTCCATATTTGTCAAGGTTTGCCTTTAAACAGCTCTAAATGTTTTAGAAGTTTCTCCTACCAGTTTTTGGTGAACTCTGGCTGCAGCTCCTTCTCCTTTGGTTGCAAGAACTTTACAAGGTCTGCAGACTGCGAGACCCTTGGATCGCAGCTCAGAAGATTATTACAGTATTTCTGCAAATACTTAAGTCGCACCAGTGATTTATTAGGCCCCTTCCCTTGGCTCTTCTGCTTCACTTTGTTGCCTTAACGACAAAAACACATAAATTTTACTCCAACATCATCCAGCTGGTCATTTAGTATTTACACCAAGCAACCCTGACCCACTTTGAAATTTAGGAAGGATTCTGTCGGATTTATTCAGTTTACTTCCAGGTGGAAATTTCTTCTTCAGTTGTTTCTGTAAAGGAAATTATTTTATTAATTAAGCATAAGCTCAGGGGAAAAAATAGAGCATTTTTTTATACTTACATGCATTTGTCTGAAATCTTTAAAAGTTCTGTAAATTGTAATGTCATTCTGATCCGACCAAAGCACAGAGGTTATGAACATCTGGAAGAATGTATACCATACTCAAGTAAACAGAAATGTCCTTTGCTGTTATTTCATAAATGTAGAAACTTAATTTCTCCTTACTTTGGTCTTCTCCTTGTGTAGAACTCCGGTTAAACGGATGTTGATAGGATAAAGCTCAGACTGCATGACGGCTGGATGGATGGATGGACAGACAGGAAACACTGTGCAGATTTCAGCTGCAAGATACTTGATCTCATTTAGGAATATGCAGGAGCCTTCCTGCAGGTGAATTTATATTCCCTCCACCTACAGGGGGTGTGGCTGGACAACTCACACTGTCTCTCTTTAAAGGGAAGTCAACAAAATAAAATTCCTGAAGTGCCTCAAAGACAGCTTGGTGGAGGATGATATATGGATCCTAAAGGCACAAATGTGTAAGCTTGTTAGGGGCAAATAGGTTGAACTGAAGGAATTATCGCCTGAGAAAATATCTGGCTTATACTTGAATATAAGAGAAACTAATATGCGAAAGCAGTGGAGAATGAGAAACTACAGACACAAAAGCACTTTATCATTTCTCCACACCCATGGGCCTTTACAGGAAGAAAGTGGTTCAAATCATTTCTCAACTTCTTGAGCAAAAAAAAAAAGTCAGGATAATAAAAACATTTATTTCCTGTTTGGCAGTAGAATACCACTGAGTTTATCTGTGTAACAACTACTACTGAAATTAGCCTGGAGTTAGAGACTACGATTGTGTCTGCTGCCACCTACTGGTATACGTTGAAATTTTTTATATATATATATATATATATATATACACATATTTTTATTTAGCAGAGAAAAACTGCAACTCCTGGCTTTAATAAACTAGGGCTGGACAAAATGCCTAAAACTAATATCATACGTCTTAATTTCTGTTCCGTATGTAATTATAAAATTGATTTAAACTAAAAATAAAAAGCAGCTGAAAGACTAACAATGCCCACACATTCTTCTACAAACAAGAATTAACTTTCCTGTTTATGGAACTCTACAATAACATTTTTGAAATCTTTCCCTTAAAAATAACCAAATGCATTAAAGAAGGACCGTAGTTTAGTGACAAACTCTGTAATCATTGTCGGTCAGTTCGGTGTGTCTTAAACAGCCACTTGATTATTTAAGCACCCTGCTCTCTGATCGATAGACAACCACTCCTTCATGCTAGAAGCCAAAAACCCTGCTTCTCTGCAGCTCCTGGTACATTTCAGCATATAGAAATAGTTTATGGGCATCAAAAATATCCTGCATTGGGTGAACGGATAAGTCTATATGATCAAATAACAGAATTAAACCGGTCATTGCACACATTTGCATAAAAGTTTATTCCACCTCAATGTCCAAATGGCTCAACATCATCAAACAGACATTCTCATGATAAACTCCTAAACATCTACCATTGCACATCTTAAATCCTGTTACATGATTAATAAATAAAAAACAATTGATGATTGTGACATATGCATTTAATTTCACTGGTTCAATGAAAACTTGCTTAAGCTCAGCTGTAAAACTGTAGGTGAACAGTTTAATGCACTTAGGTTTAACATAATCTCTGCTCAGGGAAGCTTAGAGGATCCCGAAGAGATATTTCTAATTATTTCCACTAAATCAAATTCCAGCCCAAGAAGTTTAAGAGAAGCTTTACAAGCGATTCAAATTGTAAGGCAACAGATTTTTTTCTTAGTGAGAATTTCCCTTTGGTCCTTTTTCTCACTTTCAGGTCTCAGAACTTGCCTCCACCTTTTCCAAATTTAAGCATTTATTTTTTTAATAATAAACTTTACAAAAGGAACAGTCTACTGTTCCCAAACCAAAGGATCTCTAACTTTTCAGTCTATAATTGGGCAAGTTATTTAACATCATGCATTTCTAATAAAACAAGAGTCGGAATTATTATATAAAAAAAAAAAAAAAAAAAAAAAAAAAAAAACATGCTAGAGGCTAGTAACAATCTTACCTCTACAATTATTTGGCTTGCATAGAAAACCATTTATGGAAACCATGGTTAATAATAATGTTCCGATTTTCAATCAATCATCTTAAATAACCTTTTTTATAATACAAACTTTTATCCATAAACCCAGAATAAATTAATTTGGTTAAACATTTTCTATCAAAAATAGATTTTCATCGAAGAACAAAATTAGCTTTTTTTTTTCCTTGGCAAAACTTCACTAAAAGTGCAACATGCATCCAAAGTCCAAAGCCAACTGTGACGCTCTATAGCAGAGAGCAATAAAATAAATGAAAAATAATCAAATAAAACAAGCAAAATAGGAAACCAATGACTTTCTTTTATCAGTTTGAATGGTTTTGCCTCATAAGTCTCCATCTGTTCAGCTCTTCTTCCATCCATGCTTTACTTTCTGCAACGAGGACGGGACGTCTGGCTACTGCTTAGTTTTCCTTCCAAGGAGGAAAATTCGCCATCCAGCGGTTTGCTGGCATCGTGTCCCAGGTCTTCGCAGAGCGCTATGAGCCATCTCTTCATGTAGAATTTATATCACCGAAATTCATAAATAGGCATACTGCGCTCCTGAATATGGGTTAGACTGAGTGACTGGTACCTGCAGAGATGATACATAAAAAATATATACATGGATAACTACATCAAAATAAGATGAAGTACTTTTGGGGATTTTAAGTGGATTACCACTCTGAGCTCCTGTGGTAATAGTAGCCCTCAATGGTGGCTGTGGACTTCTGGAAGCAAATGTAGTAGAAGCCTGCGAAGGAGGCACCGCTGATGTCTTTGATTGTGTGGTCGGGAACAAGAAACTGCTCCTGAAAGACCAACAACAACTGAAGCTGCATAGTTGGAAAAAAGTGAAGAAAAAAAAAAAAAAAGTAAAAACCTGCTCACCTTCCACCTCATGAAGATGTAGTCACTGTTTTCCAAGGCTCTGTAGTCAAAGTTGTCCGAGTTAAATGATTTTCCATATTTGTAAAAAGCGGGAAACTTCCCCTGAGAGAGTAAAAAATATGGGAATCAATTATTACAAATACATGATCTAAAATCTATTTTCTTTAATCCATCATCTGTGATGCAAGTATGTCAAAAATCTGAAGATCCTGAGAAGACATCTTGATAATGAAGAAATGTGCTTCAATTTCTTTATTAACAAATGTAACTAAAACCATAAAAATTGTTGAAAAAGACGTACCCAATGCTTTCTGTCCACATCCTCGTCTGCATCCCACTTCCGTGTTAAAAAAGGCCGCCTCCAGCTAATAATTTCACCAACAAAGAACGTTGTAAGAGTGGGAAACTCCTTAACATGAGGAGAAAAAAAGAAATTAAATTCAGTTTATTCATATAGTGCCGATTCAAAACATCATCTTATGGCAGTTTACACGATTCAGTCATACAGTCAGATTGGTTAAAAATTTCTACCAAGGAAAACCAGCTGATCGCATCATGTCACTGGGTGTGTTCGATTTCAGAGGCTGTATCCTCCAAGGAACCAGTCTACCTGGACTGGATCCTTGGAGGTCCGTAAAAATAAGTAGGCTGAAAGAGTTTTGGCTGTGAATTCAAACAGGTCCAGCCTACAGCGGCTTTTACAGCCGTATGCTCTTTTGCCTATCAACCATGAGAGTTGACACACAAAGCAGGCAGACTGAATACCCAACTTATCACTGCTGTGCTGGGTTTTATTAACATTTTCGAGGAGCTTCAACAGCTGCATCGTATGAGATTTATTGTCCGCAACACTGCAGATATATTAGAATCTGTCCTTAAATTACAGCCAAACCTATTTACAAAGTAACAGATAAAAACATTTCAATAAATCAAACATTAACTTCCACATATCTGACCATTAAAACAACTATTTTTGTCAGTTTCAGACAGAACTATTCACATACCTGCATAATATTAAACTGAACTTCCAATATTCACCACTGTTCAGCACTAAGTACCTTTTTTCTCTGAGCACAGAGCTGCCTTGCTTTGACTCGCAATGAATCATGGGATATCCAAAGCTACACAGAATACACCAGACCAGTCCTTCAAAATGGGCAAGAAGAAGGATGCATTTGTCGGCTGCATAACGAGGAGTCTTGGAATCCGAACAGACCTCAGTGCCACACTATGACGTACTCGGCCTACGAATCCTGCCTTCGGAGGACGCAGCCCCTGAATTTGAATTCAGCCACTGAATTGTAGGACACGCTCCTCCTGGATGAGCATGTGGAGATGATATAAAAAGCTAAACGTTTTTTTTTATAAATTGCATGTTTTTTTCTTTCCCCCATACCAAAAATCTACTTCTAGGATAGTGAGCAGAGAAAACATTTTGACATCCAGATATTCCTCCATAAAAGCCAGAATGAGTAATGGTGTATATTTTTTTAGAATAATTAATAATATATATACACACACACACACACACACACACACACACATACATACAAACACATATATAAAACTTGGCCTTTTAACATCTACAGGTTGAGTTTTAGTGGATTTGACATTTGGCCATTGCAACCTGTCAGTGCTGCTTTACCCAGGGTTGTACTGAAGGCCTCAATGCTTGCAAAAAAAAAAAAGGTATCATCTCCTACATCTGTCATGAAACATTAATTGAAACAACAATTAAAACTTTACTGTATGCTTAAGGATGATGTGCATTTTGGGAACCCAATAGTGTTCCTTCCATATTTCAACATAATGTTCTTCCCTCGTCAATCATCCCTTTGTGTGTGATTGGATCTGGTCCCCCTTAAAGCAGAATACTCTTCAGCTACTATCTTCACACTTCAACTCTAGGATGAGGTTTTCAGGCTTGCTAGTCCCCTTCCAAACATAAACACCCAGTGACAATTATAGATTCCTCAAACAACAAGAAGAGCCTCCAAATATGGAAGTTTTAGTCCATAGGTTAATTTGTATATAATACGTTAAAGATTAAACCAGTAAATAATGGTTATAAAATAGTCTTTTTAACTAGAGTTGCCATTAAAATGTTTAGCAAAGTACACTTGGTGTAACTATTCCTTTAACAGTAACGTTTCATCCCTCTAGGATTGCCCCATCAATGTGAATAATGATATTCTCCTACCAGCTGCAGCGAGGATTTTAACCAGTGCTTTCACTTTAGATCTGGGGTCAATATGCTCACTTTGAGAAAGAAAAACTCATCTTATCTCCTAACTGGTTGGTACTATGCCTGAACATCCCCATGGTGTTTAAACTGACATATAACTTCAACAGAAGAAT